CTGACTTTTCCATTGCGTGCAATCAGTGCTCACACCCTCCACCGCATCCTCATCGCCAATGTTATGTATATGTTTCTTAAGTTATCTGATCCTTATCAGAGGAAGCACATTCTACTGAATTAAATCAGTCACACGCTGGTTAACATTTTACCAACAGCGTCTTTACTTCTCTGCCATGAATTCACCAACAACATGAACAAAACTTCCCATCATGCCTCATACTCCCCCGTCTTAAAGACACAGATGTAATTATAGTACATAACAGGACTGAAGTGGAGCACGTGACGAGCTTCAAGTTCCTTGGTGTCCATCTCTCTGAGGATCTTTCCTGGACCCTCAATACCTCCATACTGATCAAAAAGGCACAACAGCACCTTTACTTCCTTAGGAAACTAAGGGAAGCTCACCTGTCCCCCAACATCCTGCTGAACTTTTACCATTGCACTATTGAAAGAATTCTCACAAACTGCATCACAGTGTGGTATGGCAACTACTGACCTTGAAGCGGTGCTGCGCAGAGCAATCGGTGTATGACATCAAAGTACTGCGAGAGCGATTCAAAAGCGTAAGGAGCCGTCTGCTCTCTATAGCTCTTGCGGTGCTTTGATGTCACATCGGTCTGATGGTGATGATCGCTTCAAGTCGAACAAGCAATGATTCAATGGACCATTCATAAAGAACCATTTACTTCACTCCTGAATGAATCAGCCATTTGAACGAATCAAATTAATGAATAAATGATTCGATGACTTCATCATTAAGACATTTACTTTACTTTAAATTACTTTAGTTTATTATTTAGAGTATCACTTCATTAAAGAAATAATTTAATATTTTCATAGAAATAATAATAAAATTAATAAAATAAATTATTAACGGTATAGTTCACCCACCCAAAAAATGACAATTGTGTCATCATTTACTCACCCTCAGGCACGTGCAGAAGAGGGGGCTTTGGGGGCTCAAGCCCCTGCCCTTTTTCAAAATTATTCAAAAGTGTCCCGTTCAGAAAAATAGCAATGAAGGTCAATAAAACAAAATGCATTTTAATTATAATTAACATGACAATGTGTACAAAACAATAATTAATCGGCGTTGCTATGTTTGCGAGCCTTTTGCTTGACTGACTGATATTCCACAGTCTGTTCGGAAACCTTCTTTCAGAGAGTGGGTCGCCGGAAGGAAAAAATAAACTAAACAATATTTTACACTTTTTTTCATCAATAATCAAGGCTAGTGTGTCGATTTAATTATTTTAGAATATTACATAATTCATCATTGCCTGTTTGTCATGTAAAATACACACCAACCAATTATGATCTGGCACAAGAAGTTCAAATTTCATTGGACAATAATGTGAAGTGGAGCGGTCATTTTTCATTCTTATTCATAAATCAGTTGAAAATTACATGGACAGACTAGCTTACATTTGTGGAGCGATCTGAATCTGCGGTTTATCTCATTTTATAAATCAAATTACATCGCTGAGAAAATGGATGCTAAATGATTGCACAAAACCGTGCAGCGCCAAAAGTCGCAATAATGGTAATCAGTATTCAGTTAACTTATATTTATGTATGGTAGGCTACACTGTTTACTATTTCATGAAACTATCATAGTTAATGAAGCCCAAGTGCCACCTACAGGCCTGTTATGTGAAGTGTAGGCTGGCGAAATGGTGACGTGAAAGGACTTTATTATATTACCATTTTTTATAATTATGCAGCATTATGAAAGTGTCTTATGCTCATCAAGCCTGCATTTATTTTAATAAATTGCATTTATTTGATCAAAAATACAGAAAAAAAGTAATATTGTGAAATATTATTGCAATTTAAAATAATGTTTTTCTATTTTAATATACTTTAAAATATAATTTATTTCTGTGATGCAAAGGTGAATTTTCAGCATCATCACTGAAGTCTTCAGTGTCACATGATCCTTAAGAAATCATTCTAATATGCTGATTTATTATCAATATTGGAAACATTTGTGCTGATTTTTTATTTATTTTATTTATTTATTTATTTTATTTTTTTTTGTAACCTGTGATACTTTTTGGGGGTTCATTGATTTATATAGCATTAGATAGCATGTATTCAAAATAGAGATGTTTTCTAACAATATCAATCTTTACTACCACTGTTTCTGTCAATTTAACAAATCCTTGCTTAATACTAATTCCTTTAAAAAAAAAAATACTGACCTCAAGCTTTTGACCGGTAGTGTATATTGTTACAAAAGTTATATTTTAAATAAATGCTGTTCATTTTAAAACTTTTTATTCATCAAAGAATCATGAAAAAGCAGGTTTCCAACATTGATAATAAATCAGCATTGCATAAAATGTATTTTAAAGTAAAATTTTTATCAAATAAATGCAGGCTGGATGACCATAAGTGACTTCTTGAAAAAATATTAAATAGTAGCCTAATGTATCCAAACTTTTGACCTCTCTATATATATATATATATTTTTTTTTTTTTTTTTTTACATTGCCTCTATTTTACATTTGAGCCCCTGCCCCTGAGGGACTCTCTGCTCTTCCCTGCTCACCCTCATGGTCCAAAAGAGTATATGTAATGAATTTTATCAAACAAAATATTTCTTGCTGAAGCTACTTTTTGTAATGTCTGTTTGATGCTTTACACAACTATGACTTTAAATTATCTTTGGGGAGTAATTTCTCAGCCAAATTTGATGTGCGATTAATTAGATTAATTAATCGCCACATCATGTAATTAATTAGATTAAAAAATGTTATCGCTTACCAGCCCTAAAATATATATAGGCCTATATATAAATATACAGTATATATATATATATATATGTGTGTGTGTGTGTGTGTGTGTGTGTTAAATTAAATAGTCGTGCAGTGTAATAAAAACAGTGCAGAAAAAGCACAAATATGGAAAGTTCTCATTCAATTTAAATGAGGGCAGCATGTAAGTGTCAATCATTTATTATTTTATTTTATAAATTAATTAATATTATACATGTATATGCTGTAAATAATAATTAGACAAAAAGAGTTTTAGAGTAACTATAGAGAAATTGTCACCCTGCAGGATACTTGAAATGTCACGTCAACTGGAAAAAGGCCGCCAGCTGAGGAGAGTCTGACCTCAAACATGAGATTGGGGCAAATGTCAACACTTAATAGACAGCAGATGGTGACTCATCAAACCATCATCCCTGTTGCATGCATGTGTATTTGCTGGCAGGAGAGAGACTACAAGGGTGAAATAGAGATATAGATAGATAAATAGAGAGGGTAAGTGTGTTTTAAAATGAGACGCAAATATTGAGCTAGAGTAAATAAAATTGCCTCCTTTTTCCTCCTGCATCTCAGTTCAGTATTTTGTGTTATATGTCCTTAAAACAGAAACTTTAATCAGTATGCAATAGTTATTCTAAACATGAGAGTGGCACGGAAGCAGCTATTCAAAATCTTACCCAGGACTGAGGCCAATTAGGACACTACAGCTCTAGCACTATGCAGACTGCATCACCAGACGGTATTACCATGGCAACAAGCCAGTACCAGGAGTCTGACAGATGAAGGAATGAATGTGAAGGGCTGTGTCCCTCGAGGGTGGGTTTGGATTACAGGGACCCCTGTCTCAAAATGTGATTTTTCATCTTTCAAAACAGAGAAAGGTCAACTTTGTGCATTAACACAGTGTTCTGGAGAATGGTTACAACAATGCGGTTTGAGTTTATTCAAATCAGTAATGGAAAATGATTAGTTTTACTCATTTAGGTTGCCTGACCTCACCTTTTGATTACACTGCATCATTCATGTTGTTTAAAATAGTCTTTATTGTGTACTTTACATCTCTGTTATGAACAATTAACTGGCAAATGAGTCAAGACAATTATGTTCCATAAACCAAGCCAACTAAATCTAATGATTCATCCCAGATCAGTTTTGAACATGTTGTGCACAAACTCTGAAATGTTGTGAACAGATTAAAAAAAAAAGATTAAAATGGGAAGAGCAAGAAGGATTGTCCTCTCAATCTAATACATCACAGGAAATCAGTATTTTGTGAGGAACTATGAGAAATGTATCTCGAAATTTGCAAAATAGTTTATAGTCAGTGTTATAACCTTAGAGTTGCACATTTCCTTTTGATATTTTAAATATTTTTAAATCATTCACAGAACTGTGGGACATCACTATACACATACAAGTTACAGATTTTGTACGTTAAGTCATTTTTAAAGTCAGCATTAATTGAAAACTTTCCTATTTTGTAATGTTATCGATCTTACTGTGAACAATTCAGCTATATATACATATATATATATATATGTATGCGTGTGTGTGTGTGTGTGTGTGTAATTTATTTATTTATTTTTGACCTAATAACGTGTAATTAAAATGTCATAACTGGACCTTCTTGTAAACCGACAGACTCTGTCTGGTGTACGTATGCAGAACTGTCTGATATGAAAACACCAGCAAAACATTTCTGTGTACAGCTTATTCTAATAAAAAAAATTTGACCACTTAACTACATATTAGCCAAGGTTAGATTGGCAGTTTAACATATCTTATAGCACCTCACATACAGCGTTTCATATTTGAGGAAGAAAAAAAAAACAACTAAGTACATTTTAACAATTTTTTTTATTATTTAATAATGTATACACACTGAGTGATTAATTTGGCTAATTTAAATGAACACTGTGGGAAGTGGAGGGCAGCTGTGGTGTGTTTGGTTCTAGCTGCAATGCAGGAGCCAAATATCGCTGAAAGGATAGTAAAACTTGAAATCACCTACATTGTGGTGACTGGCTAATGGTAGAGATACATTGTCCCTGTTCTGCTTCTGACACACACACAGGGTTAAGATGACATCAACTCCCTAGACTAAAATTTTTTTTTTAATTTTTAAATAAATAAATATTAAAATACAAATCTGGTGCATGTGCTGCAATTAGCATAACAAAAACTAAAATAAAAGAATTGGAATTTGTTAAAGTGGTCTTACCTTGCAAAACCTGTTGTTATCTCAGTGTATACTCATTGAAGACAGACACGCAGTTCACTGTTCTGCTTTAAACAACAGAAAATAGACCTTTGAAAAGGAGTTAGAACAGTATAATCGTATCCTCACAAAGACATGCTCAGTGATGTAAAGGCAGAATCCTCACCTCACAGATTCGCCTCCCTCCCTTCTGTCTTCTTTCACTCTCTCTGCCTTCCCATCCCTTCTCTTCTCTCATTCTCTCATTCTCTCTCTCCGTTTCTCTTTCTTTCTATCTGTACTTCAGCTTGGGAGCTGGTCATCTGATTGAGTCTGATTACTTCACTACTCACTGTCCATTCAGAGACCATAAAAATAATGTCCCTGATGAAGACTTTCCTGAGGACAAGATGCACTAGGGGAAAATGTGTGTGTGTGTGTGTGTGTGTGTGTGTGT